CAAGTAAACACTAGCCTAGACACCATGTCTACGCTAACGATTACTACTCTAGTCACGATCTATAACTAGAGCACTCGATGCGAGTGGAGATCTTATGCTAAGGTGAGATACATCTATACTAACCACACTTAGCTAAACAACTAAGGCATGAACTAGATAAACATGAAAGGCATACAGGCAAATAGAGAAGATAAATATATATTAAAGCAAGAATCTTACAATGGAAAGATACAAGAGCATACCAGACCTCTGAAGACTCCTTCGAAACCTGAGCATAGCTCAACTCTCCCTAGCTCCCAACTCACTATTCTACTTCCACATCTTGACAAAGTAGAGAGAGCTTCTCTTATGGTGTGTGTTATAAGTGAGGGGTGAGGGTCCTATTTATAGCCTAAGGTGGAGTAGGAGCTACTCCAGCGCCACGTCAGCGATCCGCGTGACGTCCTCTCCTTGCCCTTGGATCAAACCGCCACTCAAATCGACTTAACCAACGCTAGGGATGGCTTCCACTTGTGCTTCTTTGCATGATGTCCAAAGGAGAGGCGGTGGAGCCAAAGTGGGGCTCCAGGGCAGCGCCCTTGTAGGGCCAGTCGGCCCCCTATGACAGGTGGGGCCTCCCCCCTTTCGTCTAGAAGCTTGGCCCACATGTCATGAGTGGGTTTGGGTGGCTGAAGATATTTGTCATGTTGGTTATATTGCTATGACACGTCAGCGATCCATGCAATGCTCCATTCAAGCCCTTGATGTTGAACCGACATTGAATCAATGCTTCTCAACGCTCTAGGCCACCTTCCCATAGATTATTGACATGGTAGCGCCACCATGGCACCGGGCAGCGCCCCCTTGTGGGCCCTGCCTCTCTTGGCCACATGGATAGCTTCTAGAAGGCTTGGTTTTGCTCCTCTCTGACTATATTGTCCCTGCAAGCACAATTCTCCAAATACATGTGGAACCAAGTAAAATCTAAACATAAAATGTTGCTTTTTGCTTGATTTTATACATTTTATGACTAAGCGTTGATGGCAAAAGAGGGTGTTAAGAGCTGTCAACAAATTCAAATATATTTCGAGTTATAGCGGGCATTTGAGTTAATTTTGATAGCATTTCATTAGGATTTTACTAGAATTTGATAACATTTTACTAGAATTATATTTCGAAGATGTCAAATTCTAGAAAAATCCTAAAGAAATGCTATCAAAATTAACTCAAATGCCAACTATAACTCGAAATATATTTGAATCCACTCAAAATTTGACAACAGTGCAGTACAAATAGTCATAACAGGTCCATATTTGCAAATTCATTTAAAAACAGTGTCAACGATGCAAGGGCAAAAGTGTCTTTTCCGTCTTGACTTAACACCATTACATACCATAGATGAGTAGGGGCAATACCGTTGCTTCAGGTTTAAAAAACAGGGGCAATCTTGCGAAGTGAAAAAAAGAGGGGCAAATGAATAGTTGGAGTACAAAACAGGGGCATCCATGCAATTGCCCCTATATTATAACATTTCAGAGTTGGATCCCATGAATTTGAACCCCGTAGTTGTTCCCTTTTTGAGTTTGGATTGTTGTATTAATTTCGCCTACTGGAACTATTCATCTTAGTACTTCATCGTAACCTTTCCAATGTGTTGTCAAATCAACATAGCCTTTTCAGTGGCAGTAAATTACAATGTACTACACTTTTACTTGTTTTGTCCAGTCGAAATTAATGCACTTTTCAGATGTTTGTCAATTCACCTGTAGTAGTCAGAAAACGTAGCATTTTCAATCCACAAAACCTAGCCTTTTCAGACTGATTACTGTACCATTGTACTTCACTTTTACAGTGTTTTGCAGTTGTCATTTATACAACCTATTGATAACCGCCTAGATTCATCGATTGCGATTGGAGAGGAATCAAGTTGCTTCTACGTCAACTGATCGTCTAAACCCATATTCCCTGATGTTGCATCCACATCGACCCCCTATTGATGTTCATTGCCTCCAATGACGTCAAAGAACGTCCCATCGTCCACATCCTCCTTCCTATACCCATTCTCCACCACCACCTCAGTCATGGTCACATTTGATGCTTCAATTACCCTTATGTAGCGCGACCAATGACCCTCATTGCGCAAGGGCATTAAGACGAAGTGTGCCCTAGTCTTCCCACTATCAAACCTCTCCTTCAATGTGAAAGCACCATTGAACTTCTCCTTTACACGCAAGAAAAGGTCACTGAAGCTAGGACGATCATCGAACATTTCTAATTCTTCGTCTTTCATATCCTCAAACACCCCATCTTTTTTTTCTAACACTTCCTCCATAAAAGAAACAGACTAAGCAATCCATCTACAAAACCATTTGAGCAAACTTCATCAACTCTTCGAAATCGATGTAGCGAGTACAACTAAACATAGAGTAAACACTAGTTCTTCCAATACATAACCTAACTAACTAACTAACTATACTAGTAAAAACCTACTAACTATACTAACTACCTATACTGCTAGAAACTAACTAATCTAACTACCTATACTAACTATAATACAACCTAACTAATCTAACTATACTAACTATACTACAGCCTAAGTAACTAACTCTAATAATCTATCTATTCTAACTATACTAAATATACTAACTATTCTAACTATACTAAACTAAATCACAAAGCCTAACTATACTGCAACCTAACTAACTAACGCTAATAATCTAACTATACTAATCTAAATATACTAACTATTCTAATAACTATACTAAACTAAATAACAAACCCTAACTATCAATCATCATTCAAATAATCAACAAAAAATCACAAATCGAGCGGGGCAATACCTTGCCTAAGAAGGGGGGGGGGACCTTGGGGGGTCACCCCTGACGACAACTGGCTAGGAGAGGGCCGCCGTCAACTTGCCCCGACCGGCGGTGGTCGACTGCTGCGATGGCAGTGGGGGGAGGGTGCCGAGGGGAAAGAGGGAGGGAGGGGGCGGCGGGCAAGCTTGGGGTGACCCCCCCTACTCCGAGGAGCAAAGGGCGTCAGTGAGTGGCGGGCGACAGGGGCGGCGACAAAAGTCGGGGAGGAGGAAGAAATGAGGAGGAAGAAAGGGAGAAAGAAAAGGGGAGACTAGGTCGCGACCCTCTATTTGGGTCTGCTATGCCAGGCGGGTTGGCGTGGATCCTCTACAGGCTCTACCACGTCATTGGTCAGCGCCTCGCTGACCTGCAACGGTGGCAAGCCAGCCGCGCCACCTTGAATGGCGCATCAGCGTGGTTTGGCCGCGCAGGGCATTAGGCGTGGCCAAAAAAGGTTAGATTTGATAAAAAAACAACCGTATCATTTTTAAAAATATGCATTAAAAAAGGTTAAAAAAATTCTTCAAGTATGGATAGCTGGTATTTTGCCGAGGCCTAACTGCACAAGCGGCAGGCCACGCCGCGTCAGTTTTGTGACGTTTCCCAGTTCAGATGAGGCACCAGGAACCAGGCCATCAGGCGTCAGCGCCGAAAGGCCGGCCCTCTCCGCTCCACCGCAGCTCGGATTGTCTGACTTACTGAAGGTAAGTCACGGGTGACTTACTCCTTGCCCGATGCCCTCCGTTCCTCATCCAATGGCTAATAAAAGAAGTAGATTTTCCTCTTCAAATAAGAAAGCCCCGTTGCAGTTTTGGCCCAAATACAACAGCCCAGCTCAGAATTACATGCTCAGTGCACACACGTCCTCTCACTATTTTACATGCTGGCGGTGGAATAAGCACATGAACACTGTGCACATATGAGCATTTTAATAAGCATTTTATATTTGGGGGTGTAAAGTTTGCTTGCTTGCACTAGCATATGTGTCCTCATTCTTATTCTTCGTATGAGTTCTTTGTTTCTTTTTCCTTGCATTGCTCTTTCAAAATGCTTTTAAGAACTGAATGATGTCGAAATCCCATTTCAGATAGTTTTTATGTCACTATTGAAACTCTCACTTAATTGTGTGCTTTTCATATCAACGTGAAAACATCTCTCATGTAACATTCAGCCCTTTTTCCTTAAACTTGTAGATGCTATCAAGCCACGGCACCCTCTTAGTGTCAACTTTACTCATGATGTTAAATGCTTCCTCTAAGGTAGTGGTGGTGGCGCGGAGGCGAGTGTAGCTAGGCAGACGGCGTCGCGGACACGGGCGGAGCTGGGTAGGTGGCGGCTAAGACATGGCTACAACTTTGATGTAAAAGGTATCTTCATTTGACACGATACAAAAACGATATTATTTTTATAATGCAACAAGTGCTAGTTTACGATTATTACGTTGCTGAAATTTTATATTATTTTTTCGAGCATCTTAATGACCCCAAATGTAAAAACTCATCTCATTGAGTGCTATAACTTTGATGTAAAAGCTATCTTCATTTGATAACATATAGAAAAATATTATTTTTCTAATGCGATGAGCACTAATACACAACAATACTGTCACACACCAACAGGAGTGGCGTGACAAGGTTATTTTGTGGTGCAACAATGATATTTGCGCAACCAAAAGTGTCGAATCTAAAAAAAATTAAAAACGATTATTATTAAAATATTAAATAAAAGGATTAAATAAAAAAAAATCCACAACCTGACCTGGGTCTTATTTGGACCACGAAGTGCACTTGGGCTGTGAATTGAGAGGTGGGAAAGGTGTTCTTTTATCAGCCATTGGATGACGAATGGAGGGCATCGGGCAAGGGCCAAGTTAGCCGTGACTTACCTTCTGTACGTCAGAGAATCCGAGCCGCCACCGCAGAGCCCCAGCCCTAGACGCGCCGCCCCGGGCCTCCTTCTCGACCCACGACCAGCAGCAAGCTAAGCATCCTACTCTCGCCTGCCGCCCCACGCGTTACCACCACTCCGATCCGGCTGCTCCGCCACAGGGCCGGAGTGGGACATCGGTATTCAGCCTCTTCTAGCGGCCGTGTGCGAAGGTGGACTCGGAAGGACGGCCCGGTTCGTATCTTCCTTTCGGTTCCTGAGGCGCCTGTGTCGGCCATGTCGGAGGCCGGCCGCCGCGGAGCGCGGGAGAAGCTCCGGGAGGCGGCCTGCAACGCCGTTGCCGGCGGCTTGGCAGGTAATTCTGCTCCCCTCTCGCGTTGGCTTCCGGGATTCGGGCTTGCTTGTGTGGTTGTGACGGTGGTCCTGTGTTTTGCTTCCTTTCTATTTGTGGCAGGGGTGATCTCCGCGACGGTGTTGTGCCCACTGGACGTGATCAAGACGCGGCTGCAGGTCTATGGCCTCCCTTCCAACTTCTCTGGCGCACCTCCTCCTGGTAAGTTGCCTCTGCTCACGATTGCCTGCCTGCCTGTCTGCTACCTCTATGCTTGGTTTGCTATGAACTCCAGATCTTGTTTGGGTTCATTTTATGTTTATTTGTACATAGAAGAATACGTCCCCCCACCCCTCACCCCCACAACAAAGCGCACATGAGTTTCATTACAGTGAATTCAAGGCGCGCCTGCCAAAGTTGTTCAGGTCTGCACTTCTTGGAATGCAATATGATCGGGATCTAAGTCTTCTGCTCTCAAGCACTGTTGCATCTATCGAACTGGAGTTCAGGGCTATTGCCATTCCTTAGTGGTTCACTTGCCTTTCCTTCCAATTCTCTGACTGCGTTCTCTAGAAGTTCCCCCATCTTGTTGCATGTAAAGTGGGTGCCATCATATCATCTTTGCAGTGACCTTTGTCACCACCCTCACATCCTTCCAGCATTCTCCATGAAAACAAATTGCATTTTGTAATTTCTATAAGCTCCAAAGAATTTCAAACATGCACACATTCTTTGTGAGAGCACTTTTGCCTCATACTAAAATTGAGCTACTGATTCAAAATCAGAATCAACATTACACTACAAGATATAAACTTCAATGCTCGAGATATTGGCAGCAACACAACAATAAAAAAAATAAGTGGTGAATGGATTCATTTTTACTGCAAAACAAGCAAGACATGTCATCTACATGACTTCTTTTAGCCTTATCTCTAGTAAGAAGCTTGTTTTTAATTAATTGCCACATAAAGAGCTGAACTCTTTGGGAAATGCAAACTTTCCAAATGTCAGGTGTATAAATTGGACAGAGTAAAGACTCTTGGATTCCTATTCCCAGATCACAGCATACAGCCATCAGAGAGGGAGATAAACTCTTCAATAGCTTCAAGCTCAAACCACAGGTTCATCATTTAACGGGAAAACATTCTCTGAAACTAAGTTTCTTCCATCCCAGAACCTAATCTTCCATCCCTTTGGAAGTAGGTTTCTTCATAAAGTAAGTTTCAGGTTCTCCTCATCCCAGGCTTCAAAAATAGTTACATTTTTCGCATTGATGAGGATGTAAATTGGACATCCTAATCAATGAGAAAAATGTAACTAGGTGCAAGCGGTAGAGTCTTACCGCCTGTGACCGGAAGGTCCCGGGTTTGAGTCGCGGTCTCCTCGCATTGCACAGGCGAGGGTAAGGCTTGCCACTGACACCCTTCCCTAGACCCCGCACAGAGCGGGAGCTCTCTGCACTGGGTACACCCTTAGGATGTAAATTGGACACGATTGAATGGCCAAACTTGAGTTACCAAACCAATGGTCCTCCCAGAATCTAATCTTTGTTCCATCCCTCACTTTCCATTTAAAACCAAATTTGGCAGATTTAGCTGCCCAAAGCACTCAGGGCTTATTTTCGTACTTCTCATCCACAATCTTTTTTTCCACAAAACATTTCCACTCAAAGCAGACACGTTAAGGCATCCAAGATCTGGAATGCCCAAACCCCCACCCTTCGGGCCATTAATGTCCTGTTAGCTAAGTGATATCCATTCTCCTGATTGTTCTAGAAGAAATGCCCCATATGTGAGTCGATTGCTTCCACAGCCCATTTGGTAAACTTAATGATAGACATGAGGTAGATGGTAATGCTGGCCAGGCAGGATCTAAGAAGGGTTAACTTCCCCCATAAGAGGAGTCTTCCCCTCCAACCACCCACCCTCTTAATGATTTTATCTACTATAGATTGTATATCCTGCCTTCTAAGCTTAGAGAAATGCAAAGGAACACCCAAAATACTTAAAAAGTTAAAAGGTAACTTTGCTCTTTTAGAGCAAAAGAGACTAAAGAAATCATTTCCCTCATTATCAGAGATGCCAATAGTCATCAGATCGCATTTGTCATAATTAGTCCTTATGCCAGAAAGGTTTTCAAAGCATGCTAAAAGCCACTTCAAATGCCTAGCCTTTGTTAACTTATTCTCAAGAAACATGATGGTACCAACTGCATATTGCAGGGATATAATACCACCTGGTCAAACATTAGGGAGTAAGCCATTGATTAAACCGTAGTTGGCAGCTTTTTTAAGGATCCTAGTAAAAACATCAGCTACTAGATTAAAAAGGAGAGGGGCTAAGGCTTCCCCCTGCATTAGGCCTTTTCCTTGTGTAAAATAAGAACTATTCTCATCATTAATAATCTTGACACAAATGGGAGCCATCTCTCACAATTTTACCATTCCAGGAAACCCACTTATCTCCAAAACCTCTAGAAGTGAGCATATACTCAAGGAAATGCCAACTAATTTGGTGCTAAGCTTTTTCATTGTCTAATTTTAGGATCACACAAACTTCCTAAGAAGAAACTACAAGATTGAAGGGGATAAATACAATTGCGTGCTATGCAACCTAAATCTAGAAGAGACCACATATCATCTGTTTTTTGAATGCCCCTTCAGCACTAGATGTTGGAATTTTGTTGAGATTTCTTGGGATCACGTCATCAACTTCGATTTAACCCAGAAAGCCAAAGTGGAATGCCAACATCATACCAAAACCAGATGTCATCTGTGCAAAAACCTTCCACACGCACCACTTAGGTGGTATTCCTCTTATCCTGACCAAGGTTTCTAGTAGCTGTTCATATGGTTCAATTTCTCCTACCCATTCCAGGACCTCCATCCTTTCTCAGATTTTTGTTGAACGTAACTGTTGGAGTATGTGTGTATTAAGGCCCATATATGGCCCATGTATGACTCCAACATAGCTACCCTTCTAGGGTTAGCCCAATAGTAAGGAATCATAATTCTATCATGGTATCAGATTAGGTTTCCCCCTTTCCTCCCTCTCCCGGCCCGCCCAGCAGTAGCAGCCAGCCGGCAGCTGGCCTGCCGCCATGGCGGTGGCCCACCACCTCCCCTCCCTCCCTTCCACTTTGCTTCCCCCTCTCTCCTTCACACTGGTGCAAATCATGAGCAGCAGCCGGAGACCCAGCCGCCGCCGCCGCTTCTCTTCTCGCCGCCATGGGCCTTCCAGGCGCGGATGCGGGCCTCCCCAGTCTGGCGGATCTGGCGGCGTGGATGCTGAGCCTCCCAGTGGGGCTGATGGCTTGGCTGCTTGGCTGGCTGGGGCTGCTGGCCGGCGTGCGGATCTGGGCGGGGCGGATGCTGGGCCTCCCCATGGATGGGCTGGCAGGCTGGCTGCTGGCCTCCACGACGACGCCAGCGCTTGCTGCTGAATTCGAGGGCAGCGCGGGTGGCTCTCCTTTTCCCGGCCCGCCTCCTCTGCCGTTTCACGCAGCGCCTCCACCGGACTCTGCCCTCGTAGCGGCTCTCGTCACCGCCCGGGCCGCTGCCGATGAGGGCAGAGCACACACTGCTGTGGCGGCCCAAGCTTGGGGCGGAGCTTGATCGGCCGATGTTGTGGCCCGTCAGATCACCGAGGCGGAGCAGCTCCTCGTCCATCCGATGTACCACGACACACCACTGCCACCTCGCTTCACGTCCGTCCCCTACAGTGGTTCTCTGGCCCAACTCGGCTGATCCACTCGTCGCGCAGCTGCACTACCAAGCCGGTGGTGTCCAGAACATCCGGAGCCTGGTTCCTGTTGTCCTCGACCCTGAGTCGCCCTCCTACGCCCGTTGGCGGGACCTGGTCCTTCTTGTCCTCCGCCGCTACGCCCTAGACGACCACGTCCTCACCGACGCCCCGCCTGCGGCTCGGACCCCTTCATGGCTGCGTCTTGACAGCATCGTCCTCTCGTGGATCCTGGGGACCATCTCCCTCGACCTTCACGACCTCGTCCGCAGCACCCCTGAGAGCACCGCCACTGGGCTGGCTGGCGCTTCGAGGGCGATTCTGGCAACGCGGCTTCGAGCCTGCGTCTCGGCGCAAGCTTCGCGACCTTCGTCTCGTCGAGGCGACCTCTCCGTTGGTAAAATGCTTGGGAAGATGAAGACCATGGCAGACTCCCTCAGTGACCTTGGCTGGGCCGTGGAGGACCGGATCTTGGTCCTCAACATCCTTCGCGGCCTCAACGAGCGATACAGCCACCTCCGCACCTGGATCACCCGACAGCGGCCCTTTCCCACCTTCCTCCAGGTCCGTGACGACCTTGTCATGGAGGAGCTCACTCAGGGCATCACGCCTGGGTCACTACCCGCGCCGGGGTCCTCGTCTTCCTCGACTGCTCTTGCCGCCACTCCTCCGCCACATCCTTCCGCTCCGCCAGCGTCGTCCCTTCTTGGTCCTCCTCCCGGGCCGAGAGGGGGGGGGGGCCGTGGCGGCCGTCGTCGGGGGGGGGGGCGTGGTGCGGGCCCTGGCCGTGGGAGTACTCCGACGCCTCCACGGGGTACACCCTGGCCCTCCTTCAACAACCCTTGGTCAGGGCGCATCTCCATGTGGCCCTTCCGGGCTCCCGGGGGCGAACCTGGTCCACCGGCGGCCATGCTCACCGGCGCCGTCCCAGTCGCCCCGTTCTCGTCGCCGTGGGCTCCACCTACCTGGTCCTTGCCAGGGCCTGTCGGTTGGGACCCGACGGCTTTGGCCCGCTCTTTCGGCACCATGACCCTGACTCCTCCAGTCGGCCCAGACTGGATCGCCGACTCGGGTGCTACCTTCCACACCACCCCCAACCCTGGTATACTCTCTTCTGTTCATCCTCCTTCCTCCTACCCTTCGTCCATCATGGTCGTCAATGGTTCGTGTCTTCCTGTCACTTCCGTGGGTGCCGCTCACACTCATGGCTCTTTTCGTCTTCCTGATGTCCTTGTTGCTCCCTCTATGGTGAACAACCTCCTTTCTATTCATCGTTTTACAGCTGACAATTCCTGTTCTGTTGAATTTGACTCCTCTGGTCTTACTGTGAAGGATTTGGCTTCCCGGCGTCCTCTTCTCCGATGTGACAGCACGGGGCCCCTTTACACCCTTCGGTTTCCTGCGTCTGCTTCTTCCGCTTCGCCCTCCGCTTCGTCAGCTGCTTTTGCCGCCACCACTTCATTCACTACATGGCACCGGCGT